CTAAAGCTGGCCAAACATTGTGCAAATTTTGGCAAGTCCTCGATGAATCAGCTGAAATTCGTTCAATGGGTGGCCCTGCTGGCGACCTTCCATCCCACATCCTTTGATGAGAAAATCAAAAGGAGCCGGTCAGAACATTTTCAGGTGAACAGTGACGGCAGCCAGCCAATCAGCTGCCGTCACTGTTCAGGTATTCTGACAGTGGCGGGTATGCAATAGTCCAGCGGGAGATTTGTCCATTTATACGGTTTAGCGTGGATGGAGGAATCTTTTATATTTTTTTCCATTTAGCACCCAGGTTGAATGAAAAAAAAAAATATGAAAAATCTATGGGCAGCTTTAGCCCCAAGGTAATGCTTCACTTAAACACAAGTGATAATTTGGGTAAAACCAAAAAGACAAACCATTTTAACATGTATTTTAAGAAACATGACACACAATTGTTAGTCCATCTAAAATATATGGTAGATAATAAACTGCTGTTATATTTCAGATACCATGCAATCAAATGTGAGAAAGATGGTTTGAGCCATTAATGTATCCAATCAGTCGCACATCATTTGTTAACATAAGTGGAAGCCACACTGCTTCATCGAGGCTCCTCTGCATAGTGTGGTCCTAACTCTATTCTGTAAGATCCTCCATCTTGAAGTATATATAGCAGAGAATAACATGAGGGCAGGTATGCCCGGAGGTAGCCCATTTTTCCTTAAAAGCACAGAAACAAACCAGAAGCCCACCACATCACATCGGCACTTGAAGACCCCTGGGGACCTCCGTTTTTAATGCTAATTGTTAGACAGTAATTTGTGTTTTTCTGCAAGCTAGCAGGTAAGTGTGCTAGGAAAATTTTGTGTTGTTTGTTCTGTTCCAAGCACTTCTATGGGCACCTTACTTTTTAAAAGCTAGATTATAAATTGATTGGTTGCCATTTTTGTTTAAATTAGATCATGCCTTTCAATGCCAAAAGTCCACTCTGGGCATTAAGGGTGCAAAGAAACTTGGTGGCCATCTGCGAGCAGCAATACCCTTTTTGCAGGTTCAAAAAATCTCCATAACACTGAACAGCAAACAGCCTGGAGTCCAGAAGCGGATGGGCTTCCAGTTCAAAAATCCAAAAAGGCACTTGTATTCATCAGTAAGGATGAACTCATCCCAATTTTTTTTAAACATATTACTATTGAATAAAGTTTAAGAGTCCCAGTACAGTACAAGCTTTTAATGTGCTTGCTATGTCATATTGTGCAAGAAAAAATTCAGACTAAATAAGCAAAAATGTATGTATGTGTTATAACACCTGGAAGAAACATTCCTATCTTTGATAAATCATAGTATTTATATTTGTGTCTCCTGCATAAATTAATGCAAAAATGCAGTGGCCAACACAGGTAAGCCTTTTGGTAATTCTCTAGATTAGAGAACTGCCCATTCATTCTATGTGCCAACTGTTCCCGCCATAAACCAAGTAAGCATCTTGCTCAGATGGTGTCTTCGGGGGATTGCACAAGACAAAGTTCTACTCCCATCTCAGTCTTTTTTATTAAAATCCTCTTATTATAAATGTTTGTATGCATTAAGGATGGCAGTTATAAGGATGCTGAAAATCTTTTGTGAAAAGATCTGGCAGTTTCTGAACCTGTGACTTGCAATATTTGTATAGGATAGGGCCAGAATCACACGGGCTTCAATACTTAAAGGGTTATTAAAGCCTCAGTTTTTTTTGCATATATCTACTGCTAGCAAGGAGTAGATATATGCAAAAAGTTTTTTTTTTTAAACAAAAAACGCTTTAACAGCGGTTTAAACTTACCTGTGTCTTCTCCGCGCGCTTCCATCTGAAAATTTGAAACTGCTTTGGCGGCCGCAAAGCATGTTGGGGCAGGCGCATGCGCAGTTCACATTTTCGGCCGGGACGCGAGGAGAGACACAAGTAAGTCTATGGACGCGTGCACCCACATGGAGATACCGTGGGACAGAAAGCGCCAGCAAGGACGGAGGAGTCAGCACTGGATCGGAGACCCGCAACAGCGCTGAAGAGAAGGCTGAAAACTACAGGAAAGAAGAAGAAGATGATCGGATTAAAATACATCATTTAAGGTAAGTGCTTTACTTAACGTTGGGGTTAGGGGAAAAAATGTGCCTTTAATGTCACTTTAAAGAATAAATCTGATTAAATAAACTATATTGGATTCTGTGTATAAAGACCTGTTGTAATCAGCGTTATGTATTCGGTGTAGATTGTAAAATAAAAAAGAACATCCTTACTGGTAACTGTAAGCATTACAAGTACAGTGTTCCAGGGGCTCTACAAGTTCCTTGTTTACTGCCTCAGAATGTAATATATTTCTTTGGTGAGCAAAGTAACAAAGCGTATCATAAATATGTAATAAGCAGGAAGAACAGATGGAACGACAAGTTGGCAGTGACAGAATCTCAAGTGTCACTTGTGCCAAGGAGGGGGGGGAATCAGACTTTGACCCATGCACCAATCCAATGCTAGTGGAGATTTTCATATCAAATGCATCTATATTTGTCAGTCACAGCTGAACTCTCCAAGCAAATATTTCAAAGGCTTGAACATGATGTTCCAAGCTGATGTCTTGCAAGGTCTGGACTATGTATCTAACCACAAGGACTAATTCAGGGTATTGGTTTTCATAAAGGTAGCAAGCTACAACCAACAAGCCAGACAAAATACAGTAAATAGTAAGACAGCACAGATACGGTCAGTAATATTCCTAGTCTAAATACCGACACAGGATTCTCCATAAAAGCACAGAAAGAAGATGATCATGTTTACGAATCTAAGCTTCCCTGACAAATACTGAAAATGTGGAGTGCTCGGGTAATCTGTGCTAACCAGATGGGATTTAAAAAAAAAAAAAGCAGAGAATTGCAGAGAATTTGTTTAAAATTATTAAATACACATATTTCAGATCCCCAGGCTTGAATAGTTATTCAACACTTGGCTAGGCTAAAACCTGCCCATAATATTAGGAGGATGGTTGACTGTGCAGGCAGGATCTAACCACCCTCAGGGCTAACTGTGTAAAAAGTGCCACAGGGTTCTCCAAAAGCCAACCTTACAAGTAGGGGACGATGAAGAGGTTTTGAAAAGGAAGCTGGTTGTGGCTTTTCAGCGATTCTTGAAAGTGATTGGGACAAGTTTTCCATCCATTACAATTACTAGGGATGCACCAATACCAATATTTACACACAGGGTACACGTACCAATAATTTTTTCTCAAGTATTCGCCGATACCAATTACCGATACATTTTGTTTTAGTGTCACGTGGCAATTTTTCTAAAACAATACAGACTAATGATTTTAGGACAGGTGTGAAGTGCCAGGACCCCAGTCACAACTGCAACTTCTGTGACCCTGGTAGTTCTGCCTCTGACTCCAAATCTCAGCAATACATTATACAGCAATGCAGAATACCACCAGCTATAGAGGACTACAAATTCCAGCAATTCATTATACAGCAATGCAGAATACCAGCAGCTATAGAGGATCTCAGGAGGGCTGCGCAGGGTCTTTCAAATTTACACTTGAAGGGAGAACATGTGTGGCACAGAAAGGTATGGACGCCTAATCATGAAGCTCTAGCATTAAAGGGATCCATTCAGTCTTCTAGCCCCGCAATAGCTATATGAAAGCATCAGCAAGACGTTTACATTCTGAAGTCCCGCAGCTCTAAGTCATCAGGGAAAAGAATACAACAGTTCGTCCACAAGTACTCGTGAAAATGCCCGGTATTGGTGCAACCCTAGCAATTCATCTTTCCACCCATTAGGGACAGCTGTCAGAGCTGGGGCCTCTATAAGGAATTAAATTGTGAAGTAAAATGCAGGTATCTTTTAGTGCCTGAAGATACTTTTGTTAGTCTTCAAATTCATCCGTGTCACTATGAAGTCCCTATAATCCTAGGATTCCACTTTTCTCACAAGGGGATTAAGCACGACCACTTTCAGGTGCCAAGGATTGCTTCATGTCATTCAACTATCTACAGCTCATTGAGGCCCTGTAATTCTTAAATGGGGCTTAGTCTCACCTAGGAGAAAAGTAAAAAGATATGTGTACAGCCTAGGCCTCAGATCACAGGAAGGGAATTTAATGGAACACTGGGATTTATCTGAAGACAAGTATCTGCAGTTAAGTAAAAAAAGAAAAAAAAATTAAATCCATCTGGTTCAACAAAAAGCTTCGTACACAATGGATTGAAAAGGTAGTAGAGACTACTCACAGACTACAATGACTAAGGTGACCATAACTGGGGAGGGAGATCCCCTTTAATGCCAGCATTTATTTCATGTTTGCAGGTACTAAAAATGCATATTTTAGAGGATTTCCATTTCAGCTAAGGTAATCATAAAGGCAGCAACAGGACATTTGCTACAGCTGGGTATAATGTTTAACAATTCTCGTCTTTTCAGTAAATTAAAAGTCTTGAAGATAAAAGGAACAACAGTAAGGACATCAATAAATAGCCAAGTAATGGAAAGAATGTGAACTATGTGAGCACTGCCTCTAACAATCAGTTAAAGGGTGACCTTGCATGTGATAATAGGCACGACCGGTTATTGTAAAAGTACCATATTGCTTGCATAGCATACAAAAAAAAAAAAAAAAAGAGTATACATATTGCCAAAATCAGAGAGATAATCCTGCAGATATCCCTTTTTTTTTATTTTATTATCAGAAACAGATTTTCCAGCCTATAACTGGCCATTAGGGCAATTGTCTCACCAAGAATGATGGGTAGAGACACATCAAATGGTACACATTGAATACTCTTTTCTCCACAGGGCTGGAAAATCTCGATTTGTGATGAAGTGTACTTTCAAAAGCCATAAGAGTGCTTTAACAGGCCTTTGAAACCACTGCTTAGCGCAATTCTTGACAATACTCAAATTAGGCGCATTGTACGCTAAGGTTGGGAATGTATAGCCACGCTACGGGTGGCCTAATAGAATAGAAAGTAAAAGAAAAACTAACCTTCGAAGCGAGTCATTGCTGCTGGTCAGTAAGTTATCCACCAGGTCCATGCCATCAGAGGAGGCCTCTTTGTCTGCCAACAACAAGCTTGCCTGGGGGATCCCATCTGATTGCTTTGGCACAGGCACTTCAAATTCCTGAAGTTGTTTTCCAGTGTTCGGTTTGTTAACCTATGAATATCACAAGTAAACAGAAACAATTGAAGATGCAACATCTACAACACAATCCATGCTCCTACCTCACACCCTACCTATAGCAGCTGAGATTAATGAAATAACATCTAAACTATACACTGGAGTGGCCAGATTATTATGACCACCCTATCAGTACTTCGTTGGGCCACCTTTTGCCTTAAATACTGCGGTGATTCTTCTTGGCATTGACTCCACGAGATGTTGAAAGGTGATGCGAGGAATCTGACACCACTAATGTGATGCACTGTTGCCCTTCTGTTGTCTCGTACCAGTCTTGCCACTCTACGTTCTGCCCTAACATTGACTAGTCGCTGACGGCCACAATGCGCACGTTCAGACCCAGATTTTCGGCTGACAGTCCAGTCTTTAAACACTTTAACAGCTGCTCTTGAACATTTAACGAATTCTGCTGTTTTGCTGATACTCGCTCCATGGCTCCGAGTGCCAACAATCATCCCAAGTTCAAAGGCTGTTAAATCGCGTTGTTTACCCATATGTTCAGAAAAAAAAAATCACTTCTACTGTTGTGGTAAACAACCTGCTTCCCTATTTATAATGGTCTGGCCCTCTAGCAACTTCAGCGCCAAATTATAGCTAATTTGCCTACAAACGTCAGGTGGTCATAATAATCTGGCCACTAAGTGTATAATGAACACACATAAAATGATAACAAACATCTTTAATACTGTATCAATAGTCCCATTAATCAAATATTTCACAATTATCAATGTCTAATCATATCTTCAGTGCTTTGCATTTATAAAAGTGCTTAGTCCTCCACAAACGTTCCCTTAAAAAATTACTCCTGCATCAGCCGAGTTCTCTCTATAAAACAAGCGTGAGGTTGCCTTGTCGCACTCCTTACCGGAAAACCCCAGATTAGATGAGGGGGGTGCTCGCAGTGACTGCGGATGGCACCGCCAGGTAATATAGATGAATGGATGTCACCAGCACACCAAGAATATTGTCAATGCTGAGCCTGATGAAGGGGACCCTGCGTAGCCCCGACAGCGCTAGTTCTGATGACATGACGTTTCAATAACCGAACACTTTGGATTTCAATATTCTTGGTGTGCTGACATCCATTCATCTCTCTCTAAAACAGACTCCCCAAATGCTGTTGATCACTATAACTAATGGTTTATATTCACACTCTATAGTATTCTGTCTCTCTACCTCACCTCTGCCTGGGATCTCTCCCAGTAGAACATTAATGAGAGGAGACTAAAAGCTTCCATAGTGTAAAATGGCAAATAGCCAAACAATAAGAATCACACTCACAGTGAAAAGTGCTAGGACAACACTAATATTGCGCTCAATGAAACAGAAAACTACTCCACTTCAAGTTTATTCAGTGCAGCATATAATGGACAGTGCAAAAGTGCCCAAACATGCTCCAAAATTAAAATCAGTTTACAACTTCCCCTCTGATGGACTGTCTCAGTTTTACTTCTAGAATATCGCTTAACTTAACATATACATAGAGAAGACAGAACCTCCAAAGTGTAAAAGCACAGATGTGAAATGCATGAAACCAAGTAAAAACATATCTCCAAAAGATCAGCCACACAGAAGCCAGGGTAGATGTAATCCAAAATGTATATACTATGATTAAACCCAGGTGGTGAAACTCGTGAAAGGCGTGGTGTGGGAGATCTTCATGGTGTTGTACATGCTGTTTATCATTCTTCTGGACTGTTTTTTTTTTTCAGAATCTGCTTGGATTTATTCCAAGAAATTTTGGATTACATTTACCATGGCTTCTGTGCGGCTGATCTTTTAGAGTCTATGGAGCTCTTTTGAAAGTAAAAACAAACACTCACAGAGACATGTGCCATTACAGCATTAAGTATATTTTCTGCTGAGAGGGCTCGAGCGGTGTGTGGGGCACATGAACAAAAAATACTTAGTGCTATAATAGCATGTGTCTCTAGAAGTGTGTTTTTACTTGGTTTTATTCATTAAATGGATTGTCAAGTGCATATTGACCATTAGTAATGATGGTTCTCAGCATTTGGCGAGTCTACTTCAGTACAAGAACTCGGCTGATGCATGAGCAATTTTGAAGCACATTTTTGGAGAATTGAGCACTTTCATTAGACTCTGTTCACACCTAGGCGTATCGAACATGCGCGTTTCAGGACGCGCGTTTTTACCGCGATTCGCGGTAAAAAAACGAGCGACAAACGCGTGTTTCCGAGGGCTACTTGGCTGTATCCCAATGGAAACGCGCGACAAAAACGCTGCAAAGAAGCTCATGTACCTTTTCAGGCGTAGGCCGTTTTGTAGCGTGTTCAGACGGGCTGAAATACGACAAGGTGTGAACCATACCCATAGAAAACAATGGGATTTTCATGTTTGAGCGTTTTGTAGAGCGTTCGTAGAGCGTTGAACGCGCTACAAAATGTACAGGTGTGAACCTGATTGCATAACACGGAGGATATGGTTTGACATTGATAATATCTACAACTAGATCGTTGCTGGCAAAAGGAGAAAAAAAAAAACAGCCATAGAGAAACAAGCCCTCAGTGACCTCTAGCAAACAGAACCTTATCAGCACGCATAGAGCAAACAGCTTGTAAGAAAGGAAGACGAGTCATGCAGAGAGCAGGGAGACTGAAGTCATACACAGGAAAAAGATAAGGCCTATTAAAGGCACAGATTGAAACAGAGTTTACAGTTATTCTGAAGTACAGTCTGTACAAAACACCACAAGTCATGTTAAAAAAAAAGAATAAAAAAGTAAATGCTGAAAGAACATGGTGCTTCCTGACAAAACAAACACTTCAAAAAGTGATAGTGAAAACACTTTTTGTTTATAAAGCGCACATTTTAAAGGGGCTATTAAAGCCTAATGGTTTTTAAGCCATTTCAAATGCTGATGAATATCACTTACAATGAACGCTGCTCCTTCATGTTTAAAAGTTTTAGTTTCCTTCAGAAATTAGCTGGTCCCCTGAGCACTGGCTCCTGTCTTTTGCCATGTTCCTATAAAGCCACCCTTGTGTGCACTAGAAAACTGTGCGTTTCCACATACATACAGACCTAGCAAGACAAGCCACTGCCCTGCTTCCCACTATGCCTTCCTCCCTCTTCTCTTCTCCAAGCTAGTAGAGGGACAGCTGCTGGAGACTTTGTCCCTTGTGCTCTTGTACTGGACAAGAAGTTCAGGGAAGCGCTGCTGAGAAAGTTGGAGCCATCTGTTTGGAAACATGACGACTGTAATGGGCAAAATATAAAAGAAATACTTTGCTGGGCAATGTATATTTGTTTAAATCCAGATTCATTTTTGAAATTACTATTTTAAGCCTAGGCTGACAATAACTTGTCAGTGTGGTGAAAATAATTCCAGCAGTCAACGGATACCTGTTCAGCTACAGGGTTGGTGGGATGAAAAATAATAATTAAATATAAATTTAATAGTAAGTGCTATGGCTAATCTGGGAGGTGACCAAGAGTGTTGAATATGTTGGATAACTAATAAGCAAGCATGTCTATGTGTATAATACTCCAACCCGATGCCAGCAAAAATACCTGGCTTCTGGCTACAGAAAAAAAAAAATAATAATAATAAAACAACCCTAGTCCCACCACTGCAGTCAACATCCAAATCAGATACTAACAAGCAGTCATAGAATCAAAACTTGCAGATTGCATGCATTTTTAATTGCTCTCCAAATTGCAACACCTAAAAGGATGTTTGTCCCAACAGCAGTGCCTAAAGGATGTATTCAAATTAATGGATTATTACACATAAGTAGAGATGCACCGATACCAAGTACCGTACTCGGTACCAGTACAGATACTTTTCCAGCTCCAAGACTAGAGAAAAATTCAAAAGTTAGGAGGCAGCTGTCATTTGTAAGGAGCACACAGGGCTCCTGGGATTTGTACATCTGTTTTAATGTATGATTTTGTTTTTATAAATATAATATATATGGAAGACATGCATCAGATGCACTTCCGGCTTGTAACTGCCTTTGTATTTTAGACATTATCTTTTTCATATTAAAAAAAATTCCATTGTGAACTGCATTTATGTGGGACACATTTCCACATCCATTACAGTATAATTAAGCTAAAAGGCAGTTTCCCATCGTTGGAAATTGTTTGTGTTGCTGCTAGTGAGATGCCCATTTTCTGTGATTCCACCCCGTGAATGAAGCATCATTGCGGATTTTGGACAGCACAGATTATCTTTTTTCTGTCTAGTTTTGATGAGACCATGAAAAAGGAACAGGTGCTCATATACCAGCTTTTTTGCAACCATTCATACAGAAAAAGAAAATAATTAATCAAACCATTAATGAAAAGAAATGTGGATCTTTTCAGTTAGTGGAAATCCAAGCCTTTGTACTTCAAAATTCCTTTGCTGCAGGCTGTTATCCTTGACATTTAAAATCAGACATTCCAGTCTCAGTTACTATTACATTATGGGTCAACTAATGATGTGGAGCATATTACTTAAAGTGCTGATACTTAACAGTAAGCTTTGACTAATGTTAAAGTAGAATTCTATTTTGCCTATATACAAATATAGCAAGAGAGATAGACAGGCAACAGATGTCAGATGACAGTGACACTTACATTATGAACAGAATGGCACTGAGTGATTAATACTGCAAAATGGACACAATGTAACTAAAGCTGGCCATACACCAGTAGAATTTTGTTTGAAAAAAAATCTGTTTTCCCAATGTTTGATTTCTTAATACTTAAATCAACAACTGTTTTTGATAGTCCCCCCCCCCCCCCCCCCCCAAAACAAAAAAACAAAAACGAAAGAGCAGGATGGAAATTACTTCTCAAATGAATAAAGTTCTAACTGTAAACGTGGATTCATTCAAGAAACTCCATTTATTTCCAAAATCAAATGTTAAAACAAACAAAAAATTTTTACGAACATTCGTCACGTCTCTGACGGCATCATTGGATGTTCTGATGAGATTTTACATATTAAAGTGACACTACACTCA